AGGAGGTGGCCACCGTCACACTCTAATTTATTTAATATTGTAAGAGAAATGACCTTGAGATCAGAGAAGTGGTGAATTTCTCCCCAGACGGCAAACAGAAACAATGGAGCCGTCCTAATTGTGACATTACAATCCGGCACACAGTGAGCGATCAGAGGGGGATTGATTGGAGGAGTGGAAAGGTGGACGACTTTGTGAAAAGGTCATTGCACACTCTACCTGGAGTTTTTAATAAATCCAACCCACCGCCTGCACTGCGAACACAGAAGAAAGTGAAAGAAAAAGTACAACTCCTGTGTGATTACAGACTTCCTGGACAGTGATATTTTCCCCAACGCATTAGTGAAGCAAGATGGTAATTTCCCGGGGCCAGGGTGTATCCAGGCAGAAAATGATAAAAGGAAATAGATAGAACGAAAGGGGGGGCTCTCTTTCCCTTTCTGCCCTCCCAGCAGGGGGGCTGACGTGGAGGTTAATTAGGGGGGGTTAAGAGGAGGTGGTGTCGGCAGAAGGTCAGACTGCTATTCCAGCCAGCAGGAGGTCCCTGATCCTAGATGGACTTGTTGAGAGTTGTTGGTCATGTTGTCATGTAAGTGCTACCTCTCTAGAGACAGGAACAGAGCTGTGAAAGAGCACAGAGGCAGATGTGGCAACTTTCTGCTGCAAAGAGAACAAGGAAACACAACCAACATTTCAGAAAACACACAAGTAAAGGATATAACGTGGGACATGATGTTAGAATTAAAGTTGCAATTTTCTTACCAGTTGCTGTCAAGACAGAAACATCAATTCAACAGCAGAACAATTTTTTCGGTAACAGAAAAGGCAGATAAAATGGAGGGAAATGGCAACAGCTACTGTACAGAACTGTCTTTAAATTCCATCTAATAATAGCACTGAAGCTAACAGTTGTTGTGTTTTATATTATCGACCAATCCAATGAAGATTTCTTGATGTAAGTTAATTGGTCTATAAAATGGCTGTTGTGATTTTCCCACAGCCAAGGGAGATGCATTCAAATGCCTTGCTTGTTTTGGAACAACAGTCCAAAAGCAAAACAGTCCAAAGATATTACTGAACATAGAAAAGCAAAAACTGAGAAGCTGGAACTAGGAAATGTTTAGCAGTTTTGCTTAGAATTTGTTTCTTGAAGTTGTGTAATTACTGGAGCTCGATTTGTTATAATTCGTAGGGTTATTTCGAGATTTTACAGTAAACTTCCGACAGTCCACTGCTTGGCTTACACTACTGACTGATGTTACTACCTTAAGAAATTAAAAGCACAAAATCTGCTGCATATCGTTTTTTTTGCAAGTATCTGTATCTGAGTTTTATATATTACATGTGCATTACAACATTTATGTCCAGAGGCAAGATATAGAAGACTCTATATATTCTCATGTTGCCCCTGGGCATTACCAGAGTAGATTGAGTGGAAGAGTTTCTCAAACAACTGGAAGACAAAATGGAGACTTGTTTAAAGGTCCCATGTCATGGCCATTTCTACTGATCATAATTCCATTGTTGAGGTCTACTAAAATAAATGTATATTGTGCAATTTTCTAAACTCACATTGGTTTCTCATACAGCATCTCTGTATAGTATGTGTATTCACTCTCTGTCGTAAACGGCTTGTTGGAGCTCCTGCCCCTCCCCCCTCCCTGTGAGCCCAGTGGCCGTCTGTTACCCCATTCACACCAACGGTGTTTCGGGGCCGGTTCGGTGCTGGTGCTTGAAAAGCACCGGATTTTCCTGTTCACACCGCAGCGGAGCAGCCTCTAAGCTCCGGAATCCGGTTCGTTTCGAGCACCAAAAAGTTGTCCGTCTAGAAGCAAGAACCGCATACGTCACGCTTACGTCGGAGGGGGGCGAGATTAACCTGAGCTAACAGTTAAGGCGAGTACGGCAAATAAAAGTTGTAACAAGCAGTAGTGCTGAGCAAAGTGACTAGAACGCAACCACACACTTGTTAAAAAAAAAACACACTTTATAAAGTCAGGCAACACTAACCAGGCTTCGTGTGATTCTGTTTATTTGTACCTTACTTTGACCATCCGTTCGCCATTGATCATTGTGGAGAGCAGGCAGACGTTTTGTTTGTTATTATAGCAGCTATCGGATGGAATCAATACATGGGCTGCACAGGTTGTCATGTCCGACTATCACAAGTAGAATCATAATGAAAAATACGTCGGTAAAATGTGCCTGGAGAAAACGGCTTAGCAAGTAGTCAGTTTAGCTTCGGTTGCTATGCTAACATCACCCATGTTATACCAGAGAAACTTTCATAACAGCGTTGTGATGCCAAACAGCGTCAATTCAGACTGACACACATTCACTTAAGGGGAACTGGGGATATGTATCAGCTGCTTGTGTGACAGTCAGACAGTGAATACTTTAGAGCCGTGTGAGCTAACCCGGAGCTAACGGGGGAATACACTCCCGTTGAAGAGCAGCCAGCACTGCAGCGGTCGGTAAATGCCGCTGAAACACATTAATAAACAATGAACCACGGCACTCTGGAGAAAAGTATAAGGTTGGAGAAGTCGTTATTTAATTTAATCTGGCTTCGTATGATTAAAAGCAACGCAGTCCCCGGCCCGTTGTTGTTGTGAGGTGAGCTCCGGCGTTGGGGAGAAACTCAGCGACGTAAACTGTGACGTCATGACGCAGCAGCGGCAGCACCAGTCGGGCTCTGAGCGGTGTGAAAAGAGCCGGAGCTAAACCGAAGTACCGGTTCTGAACCTGAAAAGCTCTAGCAGGGAGCTTGAACCGGAGTTGCGTTGGTGTGAAAGGGGTATCAGAGACACAGCCCGAAACACACACACACCCGCAGCCTGGCTGGGACACCGAGTTCCACGGTGTCTCGCTGTCTCGCCGTCCCCACACCAGTGAGCCAGCTCACAGTGTCCCGCTCCTCGCAGCAGCGAGCTTCGCAACGTCCCGCCGAGTGTGTGTGTGTGTGTGTGTGAGGAAGTCCGCGGATTGGTCCAAACGTAATGGCTCCACAGGACCAATCTGCGGAGCCGTTACGTTACTATACCCGAAAGACGTCACTACACCCAAGAAGTAAACAATGGAAAAAGAGAAATATCCAACGAGGTGTTCTGGGGCAGCATAGACAGGTCTTTTCTGTGTTAGAGTTGTACTCACTACAGGGTGTACTTTGAGGGTTTGTGACTCTGCAGACCGTTTACATGCAGAAAAAGCTACATAACACACAAGGGGACGGGTAATAACCAGAAAAGCATGTCATTGGACCTTTAAACAAATTGTGTTCAAAACCAACAGAATACATTTTTGGGAATGATTTATTTTGTAAAAACTGTTCTCTTTCAGAGAAAAGAAGCTAAGTTGAGAAATAAAAGTGTAAGGTACAGGAGGAAAAAATAATATACAACAGTAAAGTATAAGAGAACAACTACTGTGGCTACATGTATACATTCCTCTCTTTTTAAAGTCTTCACATTATCTATAGTGTTTTCTTGACACGCGAGTTAATCATAAACATTCAGATGAGGTTCTGCACATTATCTGCTGCAGACGTGCCTATCCAATACCTAAACACAATATCAGTGCGCCATTAATATGAGCTGTACATGGCAGCACATTATCTTTGTTGGCGTTAGGAAGGGACATTTCTTGAAGCAAGCGATGCTAATGAAGGCCAGCATTAAGTACGATCACTTAAACAACATCAAAGCGGATCTGCAAGACAAGAAAATGACTCCACTGGTGATTCACCACAAACTCATCTCCAGATACACAGAATTAAGCAACAGAAAAAAAGGAGAAGAAAACTGCCTTTACCCTGCATTAGTTTACCATTTCAACGTGACAGTCCATGATTCCTTTTTTGTATTGAGAGTCACTTGGGCTTGATACCCGAAAGCCGCTTATATGGCAACCAGGGTCACCATTTTTTAATTCCATATCACACCCCTCGAGTGCAGTTCAACAAGTCATACTTACACAGTATGTATTTAAAATAGCATCAGAGGAAATATGTGTACCATGTGCAGCTGACAAAGCCTAATCGTAAATGGCTGACGTTAAATTGTTTATCATTACGTTGCAGCGAGCAGGCAGAAGCATTCATTTTCATTAAAGATGTGACTGTATTTCCAGTAAATCCAAGGCTTAATACTGCTCAATCAGGAGAGAGATGAGATTCTTTTGTAAAACATGTTTTCATTGACCTTCCAGCATTATTTCGCAAACAAATTGTCGGTATTTTTTATGTAATAAAAGGCAACTTCAATTAAAGGGGCCCCATTATGCTCATTTTCAGGTTCATATTTGTATTGTGTTCCTCGACTGTGACATGTTCACATTCTTTAAATAAAAAGCTCTTTATTTTTCTCATACTGCCTGTGCTGCAGCACCTCTTTTCACCCTCTGTCTGAAACCAGAGCCCAGTCTGCTCTGATTGGTTAGCTGGCCTGCTCTATTTTGATTGGTCAACCACTTGGTCTCACTTCGGTTATTTTTTATTTCCTCGCTCCTCGGGCTCGGTATCACCGGAAGTTGATTTGTCTGCGCCATCTTGAGTACCGTCCCAGTGGCCTTCTTTTTGCCGGAGGACCGAGGACCGAGGATTGAGGAGTGATAACGGAGGAACGATAATCGAGGAACTACCAGACCATCCTCCGGTGAAATCCTCAGACACTCGCCCCGTCCCGCTCACTGATTGGACGATGCGGCGCATGCACTGATCTGGCTGCTGTCAGACGATCAGCTGTGCGGCGTCATCACAAACGGACGTCGCCTCACGTGACGCTCCGGAGGAAACGACGTCCCATTGCTCTTAAAACTCATTACCCTGCTTCTCGTGGTTTCCTTGCGTCTCTCCATGCTTCCCTGGTGGGAGGGACTAGTCGCAGGGAAATGACGCAAGTGAGGGACGTAAGGAATCCATTTAACCGATGTGAGATGCAGCTTTGGGATGTTAGCCTTTGCAGACCACTTACGTGCACAAAGACTTCTATAACACACTACAGGAAAGGGAAACCCCAAAGAGCATAATAGGGCCCCTTTAAAAAGGAATGCTTGAAATAGAAAAGCAAAAAGCATTCTAAAACTGGCACACTTCTTTGAAAGACAAAAAAAGTAGCATTGTCCTGATTTCCCTTTGATATTTCACCAGTTTTGGTTGTTCTACAGTGCTACAGTAGATAACTGTAAATGAAAGTCACTGTTGCTAAACTACATTTCGCAACAGGAGTGTATGAGCTGACACATAAACCCTTTACAGTGTTGTACAGCACGAAGACCGCAACTTCAGTTTTGGAGCGGAATTAACAGCAACACATGTATTGTAAATGGAATCTGAGTAAATAAAGCATTTTGTTTAGTATGCACACGTTGTTCATCAAAACGACTAAAAAGATAAGATAAAAGTAGACAGCATTCCTGAATAAAATCGTTACTGCACTCTATGATAATACTTTTTACGCAAAGGATAGAATACTTAACACACAGAAGATGTATTGTTCATATATCTGGAGTTACTTCGAGCTCTTGCTGAGCTGGTTTTGATGAAGAAGCCCAGTGTCAAAATACATCTTTCAAAGCATGCTTTACTCAGCCACACCATACCACACACTCACATAAAAAAAGGACGTTCACAAACACATTTACCGCACACACACACACATATTCCCTGTCTGCTGCTGAATTCAAAGTGACAGCAGCAGCAGTTTCCTTCCATTCCTCCACCCAGGGTCCAGTTATCCCCCCTGCAGAGACACAGCCCCCCCACCCCCCTATGTGGGGAAGCAGATGCCGCAGCACTCCATACAGAATTCCAGGCAATCTGAAGACTCGCAGCAGGCGTCCATGATGCCGCAGTCCATGTCGCAGGGGCAGTTGCAGTCGTCGCCCATGTCGTCGGCGCAGCAGCAGCAGCAGCAGGCCTCCGATGTGCAGGCGCCGCACGAGGCCTGCGTCACCACCATGTTGCAAAGAGTCAGGAACTCGCAGAACAGGCACGCCAAGATGCAGTGGACGCAGCAGTCTGAGTCAAAACCCCACGGGGTGAAGCAAAATAAACACGTGAATAAAAGAAACCCATTCAAAAAAAGCAATATACCAAATAAAAATATGTAAATACTGAAATTAGTAGCCATTAAATGAAACAAGCGGTGTGATTGGATGAGGATTCGCATGCTTGGCAGGTGGAACAGAGGGGTAACTTGCCGGGAGGATGGTGAAAATAAGAAATATTCAAATAAATGAATTCCTCTCCTGCCGTTTTGATTAACGGACTGCTAAATAATTGTGGCATTATCATGCAAACTGCCAGGTTGATCACACACAGATGATTAGAAAAAGTCCAACAGTGTCTCCCGGTAAATAGGTGGATTAATGCCGCCAATGCTCACACCTCTGATTAACATTTAACCTCGTCGCAGACTACCGTCAAATAGCTGGTGGCAACTTTCAGCTTGTTGCAGCACGGCAATAAAGAGTTCCCCTTTAAATTACCAATATACCCATTAACCATCACAAATCTGTTTCTCAATGGCGGAATTAGTTTCATTAAAATGCGTCCGTGCTGAATTGGTAATGAAAAAGAACAAATTACATATTTTACTTCCACACACACACACACACACAATGTGTTAGTGATGCCATGCAGGGAGTGCAGGATGCAGAGGACAAGAGTCTTCTTACAGAACTCTTTAACTACAGGGAGAAAATGTCATTAGATGAAACGCAATTTAATTATTCTTCAAGACTTTTGATGATTATTTCTGCTCATGTGTTTTTCTGTCCTTATGTGTTTTTCTTTTAATGCCATTAACCTTGCAGATGGAAATGTGCCTCTATGGCTAAATCTGGTGTTTTTACATGTTGGACTCAAGTGCTTAAGTTAATGTGCATTGTGCCTTCTGAAATAAATAAATACAAATAAATAATAAAATAATTTCATCAAATCAAAGACCTTATTTTTGTTGTGCTTAACACACAAAAATGTTTTTTAAGTTTAATGTATGATACAATAAAACCCAAAGAAAACTGATTAACAAAGTACATAGTGTAATATACATGTTATATATTGTATTACAATGTGCATATTTTTACTTGTGTTTATTTAAAATAGTTTTATTTTATTTAATATTTTAATGCACATTTGTAGTTCAACTTCTTATAGATAAATAAAATTAAAAAACGTTTTAAATATAAACATATTTTGTGTTTTTTTCATTCTCAAATGAAGCAACAGTCACGAAAAGCAAATTCCACCAGAATGAATCAAGTATTCTGATTCTGTCTACAAACTGTCACAATTGACCGTATGATATCGTTAAATAGCTGCTTAACACCAGAACTTGTGTAGTTGCAATAAGGCACTAAATTATACTTAATATCACTCGCTAAGTGTGCATGGCATAAACCCCTTGCAGCTGTCTCCTTTTTGAACCGAGGCCAGAGCAGCGCCACTGCTTTGGAGTGTTAAAGAGACATGATGTGGATGGATGCAGAAAAATAGCATTACAAACAGGGCACATTTGCATAACTTTCATCAGCCCATCTTGAGCTGTCAGAAGGAGCTGTTACTGATTGGGTTAGAGGGAGAGCGAAAGGCGGAGAGTGTGGAGGACGGCATGGGAAGGCAAGCTGAAGACCGCTGGATGCTCATGTTTGATTAATCAAAGTGGAGGGAATTTTTTTTTTTCTTCATCCTATTTTTTGTGATGCTCAGGGCTGACCAGAAGCTGACTGTGATACAAACAAGATAGAGAAGGGGAACATGAAACGAGCAAGTGTGTGAATATGTATGTGAGTGAGGGTACCTGAAGTTTGAATGCATCTTATTATCCTTATCTGATCATAATAATATCTCAGTGGTGGGAGGAGAAATCCTGAACATCTGTAGTGGACGTGCGGTAAATTGGATTTTTTTCATGCTGGTGTTACGAAACTCATACTGGCATTGGGTAAAGTGTACTGCCATGCGAGTGCTACAAAATGAAAACAATAAACAGCGCCCAGTCAAAGCCCCATGCACAAAACCTCAAAGTTCAGCCAAACAAACTTTGAAGGACCCAGAGGGTATAGCCATGCGCTCAGAATGTAACAGTAGAGTATGAATAGGGTATAAACACATAGGCATTAAGCAGCGGCCGGCCATCTCAGCTATTCACTTGGATGTATAATTCAACACCAGCGATTAGTCTGGATCTTAGAGAAGCCAGTAAAAAGGAGAGAGAAAGACGGTGGGGGGGGGGGGAGGGGGTCGTACACTGTACACAAGAGAGCTGGACGAGAGGCACATCTCCAGGAAAACAGAGAGAGACAGACAGAGACACAGAGTGAAACCAACCAACAGACAGACAGAGCAGCGCACACTGACACGTCTCCTGTTTAATGTCAGTGAGCGGCGATGAAGCCCAGAGTTTGCAGGGGCCGAAAACAGCGTCCGGCGCCTCTGAGGAAATACTTTGAGACATCTGGAAAGCTAACATCAAAAAAGAGGGAGCGGCATGACACAAAACAAGCTGGATGGGCCTCAGAGCGGCAAGCTGTGCAAAACATTCAAACTCACAAAGAGAGGCAGACAGAGGGGGAAAGAGGTTGATCAGACCAGGCCTTGGTGGCCATGGAAATGCACAGATGGGTAAAGAGGGCAGAGGACGTGGGCTGGAGGGAGAAGGTCCACCACATGCACTTTAAAGCAGGCTTGTTTATAATGCATGACTGAGGGAAAAAGTCAAAGCTAAAGGACTTGCACAATACACATCAAGGTTTGTAGCTAATCTGCACTACGCTCGAGGCATTGACTTAAATCTCTAAATGAGGCAGCTTGGAGACCTCAGCTGATTACACACAATTAACAGAAAAACACAAACTGGATGACAAGAGTAAAGACAACACCCCCTGCTGAACAAAAGCAGCGTGGTGAATGCCTCCTCAGAAGCTGTGGTGTTATCACAGATCGGCTACGATGCCAACGGCACGTGCCAAGAATCACAGAATCCCCAGAGCTAGATCCAGCTAGTTTACGCCTTTTATTTCCTGTGTTCAGGGGGCTGTTTAGGAGGCTAATTTCACAGGCAAACAGATTATGTTAATCCATGTAAACATTCAAACACCACAGCTTGGCTGTTTTCCGGGGGGAAATAAATAGTTGAGAGCGAACATATTGATTTGGAGAGCTCTCGCGTCTGCAAATAAGCAACACTAAAGCCGTAATGAGACAGACTTGTTAAGCTGCTGTTGTTGTATGTTCTATTCTTTTGCACCCTCTCTGCTGTTCTTTACCAATTAAGATGTTGAAAACATGACGTGTCTGGAATATCTCTGGTGGATGCATCCCACTTTTACTTGCGAGGCGTTGTGTAAGTGCGTTTGCTTTCTTGTTTTTTCTCGTTCTGATGCATATTTCAAGGCAAGCATCATCAAGTAAACATCCGACAGCCCACTTTTATCCCTCAAACCTGACACCTGACCATTAGTCATCTTTGAACACATTATTTTCCCATCTTCACATTGGAGTCCACATGAAAAGAGAAAACAGCAAAGGCCTCGAGTTGCACGAATAGGTAGTGAATTGTCCATGCCACAGAACACAGAAGGATGTCCACGCACGCACAGCCACCTAGCCAAATAGTTGGAGGAGGGATGCGACGATAATGAGGGCCGCGGTGGTGCTGACGGGATGTAGGGAGAGCCAGAGAGGGCCCAGAGAGGTGTGAGGGGCCGTGAGGGGCCCGAAGAAGGCTGGTCACGACTTTTAATAGGCACCCTGTGCTCTCAGGCCTCGTTAGACGGTCACACCTATCTCCCCGATGGAAAAGGACCAGCCGCCCGCCTTCATTACCGGACTCACCTCGGCCTAGCACCTGACAAAATGACGGCTTCCCCGCATCGCAAACGCACTCTCTGACTTGTTGTTCAGGAAAATAAAAGCCACAGCAGCGGGATACGATGTCATTTGCTTGACGGGAGTTATAGATTTCAGGGGTCATGCACTCCCATTAATAGAAGGTGAAAGAAGGGAAGAATGTATTATCAATATGGGTATTATTACAGCAGAGAGGAAAAAAGAGAATTAATTGTTAAGGTGATGGTTGAATGTATATCCTAAATATTATGTTTTTTTTTTTTTTTTTTTTTTTTTTTTTTTTTTTTTTTTTAAATAGGACCGGGAGCAGCATTTCTGTCTCCTAATGTTTTGATCAACTACTCAGATGATTTACTTTTCTTCCTACTTAAATATACCAATGTATGCTTTTGTGTGACATGGAATAATGACTGATGTGTTCTTTTTATTTTAGAAAATATATATATGTTTTACGGGAGTTGAATTAGGAATGTTTCAACGCATACAGTATGTATCAGAAGATCTATTTGTTACGACAAACTACACGTCTTTTATACACAATGCAAATAATACAATAAGAACTGGCCTCAATTCTTGAGACATCCCTACGGCCCCATGGAATGAATGAATGACCAACAGAAGATGGGATGCAAAAGAGAGAAGCATGCGTGCAAACAAGCGTTAGAGAAGTTAGTAGTACTGTGTCTGTGCTCTCTCTTACTCACTGTCATGATTTCCCTGTGTGTTGCTACTCACCCTCGGGTAAAGGAGGTTTCTGTGAGCTGGTGGAGCTGCCTTTACTGCGCCGGCTGCTATCGCTGTTCACCGACAAGCTGGACCTCAGTTTCCTCTGCATCCTCTGCGACACCGGCGTCAACGGCTGCTTCCTGGGCTGCTCCGTGGTCGGCGCCTCTCTTGTGCCGGGGCCAGAACCACCCGTGGCCCCCGTAGGGATGTTGGCACCGCAGGAGCATGTGCGTGCTGCCCCCGGGTGTACGCCGTTGCTGAACGTGGGCGTGCCAGTGCTGTTGTGGTGAAAGCTATTTTGGTCCTTGCGAGCGTCTCCATCGGCAGGCTCTGGTTGAGACTGGGGTTGAGCTGAAAACATAAAATAAATAAGATTTGTATTAGTTTAGTAAAAGACGTATGGCGCTTTTCCACTGCAGGACCTAGCACGGCTTAGTACGGTATGGTTAGGCCAGGCTCACTTTATGCTGCGTTTCCATTACAGTTTAGTAACAGGGGTAGTAACTATAGAACCACAAAACCAAAACATCAGCCGTTAGCTGTTAGCACTCAGAGCTCACAGCTCCTCATATCTGTTCAGAAACTAGACAAAAGTTAAACAAGTACAAACCACAGACTGCCTGTGTCATGGCGAATACAGTCGCTGGTTTATTTATGTCTGTAGCCCGTTGTTGTGAGTGTAGACGGAGCATATACAACGTTAGCTTAGCCTGATTGATCCGATCTCCATTCAGAAAACACGCATTTTAAAAGGTTTTTCGCCTGCCGTCTAGTCTGCAGACCGGTATCAGTATGTTGTTACTTCGGCATCATTTTGAAACGTGTATTACAATTAAATCTCGGTAACATATGTTCATTTTGTTGTAGTTGTAGCCCCCTTGCCAGCGATTCTCTCTGACCATTCAGCAGTCCAGAGTGTTTACGTCACTAGTTTAGCATATTCAGCCCGGTTGTTGGCCCGGTAATGGCGCGTTTCCACTACAGCGCGCAGCCCGGTTTAAGAGGGCTGTGACGTCAGCGGCCCGTCTTTGGTTGCGTTTTCACTTGGCCTAGTACCGGCCGGCGGGTCCTAATTCACAGTTTTTCTGGCCTCATAAAATCGTGGGTCCAGGGCCAGAGACAACGAGGCTGAGTCGGGCTGAGTATGCTAAACTAGAGAGAGCGTCGCTGGCAAGGGGGCTACAACTACAACAAGATGGACATATTTGACCGTGATTTAATTGTAATACACGTTTCAAAATGATGCCGAAGTAACAACATACTGATACCGGTTAGTAACAACCATGAATTAATGCTTTGACAAGTCTGCAGACAGACGGCAGGGGAAAAACCTTTTAAAATGCTCGTTTTCTAAATGGAGATTGGCTAAGCTAACGCAGTATATGCTCCGACCGTCCACACTCACAACAACGGCCTATACAGACATAAATAAAGCAGCGACTGTATTCACCATGACACAGGCAGTCTGTGGTTTGTACTTGTTTAACTTTTGTCTAGTTTCTGAACATATATGAGGAGCTGTGAGCTCTGAGTGCTAACAGCTAACGGCTGTGTTGTTTTTCTGGGGTCCTCTGAAGATCACGTCACGGCTCCGCCTACACTGCGTTACTATAGATACTGCCCCAGTTCCTAAACTGTAATGGAAATGCGCCATAAAGTGAGCCAGTCCTAACGAGGCCCAGCCATACCGAGCGGGGCCGAGCGAGGCCGTGTAGTGGAAACGCGCCATAAGAACCTCGATTTTGGAGGGCCAGAAAAAAGGTGAAAAAGTAGCCCTGAGCCGGAACTACCCCTAGTGGAAAAGCAAAAAAAGCAGGCCGAGCGTGCTGCAGTGGAAAAGCGCCATTAGATGTGTAGTTTCATCACATGTACTTGTATTCGGGATTGTGGGAAATGGTATTCCGATCTCTCGGTCTGTACACACAAACTGAAAAATTGACAATAAAGTTGACTTCGACATCTACTCACATCAGGTTTAAGGCAAGGCAAGTTTATTTATATAGCACCTTTCATTTACAAAAATGAAAGACATTCAGAAAACGGCATTTAAAAACAGTCATTAAAAAGCAAAGATAGTATTTTCAGTTAAATATCGCTTTGTGGTTACCTCTTTTTGAACATTTTTGTGAACAGAAATAGAGCTCTCAAAGAAAACACAGGAATGATCAGAGAGTGCAACATAAGTCACCACAACCTTTGAGATATTCAGACCCTTTGAGATAATTAAGTCCAGAGTGTGCCCCTTATTGTGCGTGGGCTCCGTCACATGCTGAGTCAGTCCATAGTTATCAAGAACGCAAAACAGTTCTTTAGCCCCTCTGTCCTGGGGGTCGTCAACATGGATGTTAAAATCACCAACAATGACTAGACGGTCAAAGTCAATACACACTATAGACAGCAGTTCAGTAAAGTCATCAAAAAAGCTTGCACAGTATTTGGGGGGTCTATAGATATTTAGGAACAGAGCTGAAGGGCCACATATTCAAAAGAAGCAAAGTTCCCATAAGATGTCTTCCAGCATTGAAGGGAATCATTGAACAAAATAGCAACTCCACCCCCTTTCTTATGCATTCTTTCCTGACTCATAAAACTAAAGTTGGGAGGGGTTGATTCGATAAGAACAGCTGCACTGTTATTTTGTTCAATCCAAGTTTCCGTTAAAAACATAAAATCGAGATTGTGCTCAGTGATAAAATCATTGATTAAAAATGTTTTACCTGCCAAAGACCTGACATTTAATAAAGCTAGTTTAAGTTTGTTAAATACACTATCAGTAAGATTTTTTGTAACAAGCTGTGGCTGACATGGAATCACTTTGATACACACACAAACGTTTGAGCGCTTCCTGTTTCTAAGCTTATTCACCGCTCTTAATCTATTACCTATCAACACAGACATCGGCAAAGCTACTGGCAGGCAGGGCCCCGGCATGTCCTGGAAAGAGTTGAGAGTGCCATACTGTACGCCCTTGAGCCTGGATCCAGCACATATCAGTTTGCGTTTTGTACACACACATTCTTATCAGGCTTCGGAGACAGCAGATGCGGTCTTGAAGGGGGGGGGGGGGGAGGACGTTTTGGTCCGGATGATTGTGGTAGGCATGGTGATGGGGGTGCGCGTCTATGCTTCGGTGATTGTGGTGGGCGTCGTTGAGGAGGGGCGAGGGTAAAGGACATGCTGCCATACCCTGCGTATCGCCTTCATGCTGCGGTCATTGAACTCCAGGAAGGACTTGGTGCCAACCCTCTGTATCTCCTTCATCTGCTCATCAAACTCCAGGGGGGTGGGCGAGGGTGAAAGGGTGAGCGGAGAGTAGAGAGAGCTGGGGTGTGAAGGAAGAGTATCCTCAAAGGTGATAAGGGGGGGGGGGTGAAGGGCGGTGGAGACTCCTCCATTTGTGTTATAGGTCTCCCATAATCAAAACATTCCTCAGGCGGGTGCAGTGATACTTCTTCAAGGTTTTCTGCGCGATGTGTTGTGTCTTTCTCCTGTTTTGATTCCTCTTGCCGCTTGTCCTTGGCAGAGGGAACAGATTGATGACGCAGGCAGTTGAATATGTTAAGAGATAAACAATTTCACTCCTGACTTGTTCAGGCAAATTCCATCTGCCTTAAAAAGATGTCTGCGGTGCCAGAAAAAGTTAAAATTGTCAATAAAATGGACAGAATGGTCAGTACAGCCACGTGTTCAGTGCAAACAGTCTGCTGAATCTCTCCACTCCTCTTCTGACTGGCGGTAGAGGGCCACTGATGAACACCTCCGCATTTAGGGAGCTGACAGTAAGTGATTGCATTTCACCTTACTTGCATTTATTTAGCTGCAAGCTCAAGGTCTTAATGTAGGACAGTCTACACATTAATATAGAAAACATATACAGTAAGGCTGCACAATTATTTGAAACTTTTCTCAAAATCACAATATGTATTTGTGCAATATTCAAATCGCACGAAGCTAAATGATGGATGATAAAATATCATTTTGAATAACATATTGCGTTGCAGCAGAGATATCCAAACCTACAAATCCTATTTTCCAGACTTAATAAAACATATGTTCTGGTGCAGATCCTCTTAAAAATCACATCATGATCAATTTCATATCTTTTTGGTGCAATTTTAAATTGTGCAGACCTTGAAACATGACATACATCTGCCCGTTTTCCTTTTTGATATTTAAGATGGGAACATAAAAGACAATACTTAAATAAGAGCATATAAACGGAACTACTGCTTTACTTCCATAACTTACTTTGTAATGTCTATTTATTGCAAGATGATTCCTTCTACCCTTATGTTGATGGCGTGATAACCCTGTAACTTTATTTTAACTGAAGAGAACTTTCATACCGTAGCAGTAGTAGCTTGTGATGTTCAAAGGGAACACGGTAATGGCGACGCACCACTCTCAGCTAAATCACTCTCAGCAAATCTTGCCACCATTCCCTAACATGATCATATCGATCACATGGCAAACACTTGAACCCGGACCGACAGAAGGGAGCGCAGAGATATAGGAAGCGTATATATGTGACAGGTTCACAAAAGCCACCGCTGTAGGCAGACACGCGTTTGTGGGAGCAGGCGAGTTAAGTCAGTGTGCGAGAAACGAGAAAGAAAACCTGTGATACTGTACATATACAAAAAAGAGCTGCTGTCTGCAACAGTAATGATCTCCTTTCCTCTGAACGCTCAGAGATGGCCTTTCTAAGTGTGTGTGAGTGTGACAGCCACAGAAAGTCAGGAGACAGCGACCTGTCTGATAAGAAACAAGGCAAAGGATGTGAGTGAGTAAAGGAGGTGGCATTTCACTGAGAGGAACACCTGCACATTCAGCTCTACTGGGACCTACTCCTGTGTTACCTTCCTCCACATCAGAGCCGCTGAGCGTGTGCACGCGCCACCAGTGCACGCTTAACTACAGATTTTGTGAATTATTCATCTCTTTTTAAGTCTGTCTGTGTGAACCGTGCTTCTATTCCGGGTTTTTTTCCTATACGTTTTGTATATACATTAAATACATGCCGTCTTGAGCATCGCATTGCGCCTATTCTAACAGCTGTCTTATGCGGCTGTCCAAAAAACAACAAATGTGGACAAAAACAGAAACTTAATACGATGCCGGTCATTTTTTTCCATCTCTATTTTCCTTCCGTCAGCTCACCAACAAGTGCAATTACGGTTAACAAGAGAGAGTGTGGGAACCGGGGCCTCGCACTTTTTAACAACACATCACCCTGGGAGAGGCCGGACGTGAATGTAAATGTAAAACAAAGCAATTAAATACACACACTGGGTTTCTGCCTTCTCCTCATTCGGGCTTCTGCATGCTGCCTCCGTAAACAAATATAGACT